ATAAATATGAAGCCCATAAACAACTATTCTAATATCTGCAGATGCATGTTCAATAATCGAATATTTGCCATTGGCCTTTTATCTTCTTGTAATGCATCAACCGAACTAATGTTCAATAAGTTTGGACATTATGAATTATATATTAGATAAAATAGATTTGTAATGTGGTTAATATGATTTATCCCGTACTTACGAATGAACTTGATACTTCTCTTGGGCAATGTTTTCTGCGTTTCACTCGAAAAAGATACTCATAGAGCACAACGTTGGCACAACTTTAGTTCTCAACCACAGTTCATTCTGGTAATTCATTCTGGTAGAAAGTATATTTTTTGTATTTCTTTGGAAAGGTTTAATGTGCTAAAAGATACATATAATTGCATTAGGGTGTTTCATTTTTCAAGAATGTTCTCAGATCACAACGGCCCTTTATGGTGCTGGTAGTTCACTGATTTTTTCAACATAATCGGAATACGTAAAAACTGGTACGTCGGTCATTCTTTCCGTCCCATTGAATTACAGTGTGGGCGACGCCCACTTTTCAATGGAAACATTATTTCGCACGTTTTTGCTAATCATTTGCCGGGAATGGTTTTAAACCAATTTTCCTGTTATAAGCATTTGAATATAAACCAAACCACTCTCATTGATGTAAAATAGACTGTTCTAGAATTTTTATCGCCGAAATATTGTTATAAAATCACAAAGAGTGAAATATTTTTTATTGTATTGGACAGATAATATTTTCTTTTACTGAAAATGTTTTAATTTGCATAACTATTAGATACATAAGGATGATATGAAATTTGAACCACTAAAACAGATGTAGTTTAAGTTAAAGGGACCTTTTTCTATACCCGCGATGCTATCTGACCCGAACGAGCCACCTGGTGATGAAGCTGGTAACTTCCTACTCGCATCTGAGCTATTGAAATATTTCATGTAGAAACCTGAGATTTTATAAATGAAATGGGATATGATTTTCAAATTAGGATTTTGAAATATCACATGCAAGTCAATCGAGCATTTCTTGATTGATTTATCAATTAGAGAATGACGAAGATAAAAATGCAAGGTATACTCTATTCCAATTCTGACAAATCAGAGTAAAAATCATTTTTCTAATAAATCTATCTTGTGATAACAGGAGCAGTTTTAATTTACTTGAATGATCCATCTCAAAAGAGCAAATAAAAAGGAATGCTGAACGTCATGATAAATTACTTCTTGCAATGATTAACAACAAATTAATGATTGAAATATATTTATGTTATTACAAATACCAAGGATATAATGTCTATAGGTCACGAATCATCGTAGCCTATATAGAGTTTGAGGTTCAATATTCTAAAACAACGTAGTGTACTTTCCCCTCGTTCCTCGTTCTCAGCTTCAATTTGCACTATATAACGTACATGTACAGTATGTCTAACCTTCAGAAAAGACGTTGATATTTTTTTGCCAAGGAAAGGTGTTTTTCATCTCTGGACACAAAAAGTCTTAAAAACAAAATCCCATGGTGTTTCTGCAGGAAAAATGCAACATGATTCTGAAAAAACATGTTGAATCTTTGGTGAAAAAATCATGCCCAAATAAAACTCTAAAGTAATTTGCTATACTGTATCTGGACCCTGATGCTGATGTTGCAGTTGATTTTTAAAACACCCAACAGACATTTACAAAAGATGCATTGTCTCTATTGTCTTCAAATGTTTTTCATTGATCTACACCTCTGAAGCATATTAGTTAAAACTTAAAATAGGTTCAACTAAGTAGTCGAAAAGGTGCGATGCAACATTAACTGGAATATCATTAAATTGTTATTGCTGTTTAACTTTAAACAAATCTTCTTGCATGCTCTTTTAAGTAAAATACATGCTGGTCGAAATTCTTCTTTTTACTGAATACACATCCAAGGTATTTGTACTGCCCAACATTTTCTATAGCACTATCATTGGATGTGGAAACCGCATCAACTTTTGAGTTAAAAACAATTGAAAATGCCCGCTAACTAAGTATTCGCGTTATGAGTCTGGGCTGTATTTATTCAATATTCTGTGAATATCAAGAATAAACCCCTTCTTCGTTGATGTTGTAATTAGAATTGTGTTTTACAAAAATTTTATATTTGTATTCAGTAGTTTAGTCTTAGGTCAATTTTGTATATTGTAGTTTTTATTTTTTTCGTGACTAATATGTCATTGTAATGACATCAAAGAGTCAATAAAAGATTCTAGTATCAAATGCTCTGGTGATAGAAATGTACTCCCAAAACGTTGAGCCTGCTGAAACATTTATGTTGACCATAGTGCTTTTATTAGACCATGTGACAATGTACTTAAACGACGAGATGGAATGACTAAGAACTGATACTTTTCATGGGGGTAACCATGAGGGAGGGAGGGGGTGCGATTGGTGCATCCCAGAAAAAGGAAAACGCGGCTTTGTTTAATTTGTCGAAAAAACATTAACAAGTTATACTTTGAAATTCTTAGAATGCACTATATATAACAATGTAATTTTTCCAGGGGTGAACCACCATACCCTATTTTGGGGATCGCTTTGCTCGCAACGATTTAAACCCAAAATATCGCGCATCCCTTGACAATTGCTGGCTAATAGCTACCGCCCCTGTTTTTATCCTACCGATGAAGAGTTATATAGAGCACGTATTGGCAACGAGGTTAAATTTGACTACGATAAAAATTCACCTTGAATCTGACATTTTAAACCAAATATAAATGTACACGTTTTTTCTAATTTATACCTCGCATATTATCGCAATTCTGTATTACACCCAACGACGACCTGGTAACTCATACTGATAGTCAGATATAGAATTATAGATTAATGAAAAATTATAATTGAAAGTGATAAATCATGGCGTTTCAATCAAACGCTCGTCTTCGGTTGATATAAAGGGGAACTCAGAAGAATATTGTCTACCACTGGATACACAGACCAATCTGACTCTAATGAACAAATTGATTTGTCCAATATTATTTATACAGCAAAATCCCTACCATGACATGGCTTCTTCCTGAAAATTCGTAAGAAATGTGTTTATTAAGTTTTTAAGTCTGTTGTGTTAGGTTCACTTTTTCTGATCGATTCCTTTCTTCATTTATTCCTATATTTCTTCCTATTATTTATGCACAACACTATGACCAGTCCTGCTATCAATCAGCGCCGTGATTCCGGATGTTTAGTTTCCAGTGAACGTGAATTTAATTGAATTAACGTCATTCTGATCAATCACACCTTTCTGTTTTTCAAATAGAAAGGAACTATAGAAGAAGCCTTGATTTCTCACAATGTCTCATAAGCGAGTGGTTCTCTATTTGCAGTAATCAACTATTGGGTAATAGCTGTCAAAAATCCTACTGGCCATTTTGTTTCATCACTGCATTAAATTTTGAATTTTCTAAACTATAATCTAAAACTTCAGAGATACATAATAATTTATTAATTTTGTGTCCCATCACTCGCCATAGTTTGTAAAATGTATTTTTGTATTTTCGTCAATACCAGTGACAATGGTTTTACAATGTAATGATCATTGGAGTCCTATGTGATTATCAAAAACAAAACTTTTTATGTATCTAGGTTGTTTTGATGGTAAGCAAGAAGTCTGCGAGATTCTTCAAGAAAAGGCACATGAATTGAAATCGCAGTAACCATTAATCTTGAAAAGCTTGTGGATAATCATACTGTCTCTTTAAAAAGTTTTTCATTTTTTCCTATTACTTATTGAATGAACTGTAATCTGTATTTTTGTCAATAATAAGTTTATTTACAAGTATTTACATATAATAGAATAAATTGAACTTAGCGATCGACCAGATACATATAAATTGCTTGATTTAGTGCCATAAAAATCTCGTAGTATTAAAAAGTTATGAGATAAGATCAATTAACGTACAAAAGACTCATTGACGTCTTATCTTCATTCCATCTTGTTTATTCATTTTCTGTAAATACAACATTATCGTCAGAGAGTAATAATTTGTCCATCGCTTTTAAAGGAATGTTTCAAGACATTTCTATACGATACAATAGTAAACATTACAATTTTAGCTTCTTCAAACGCAATTATAACTATGCAATATATAACCTAGATTATCAACCACCCTTGACAATCGATGACCTCCTAGAATACTTGTGTTATCTGTGTCTAATTTAGTTCTCAACTAGGAAAGTAGCATGATAGCGAAATTTCATTTCATTTTCTTACGTTAAAAATATTTTTTGTGTGTTCTTGACACCATTCCCTACCAAAGTAAAAATCTATTTGTAGTGTACCATCAAAAACACAATATGAAACAGGTGTTATTATAATACAATAATGTTTTCACATCTGTAATTCAATCTTAGCCGACTGAGACTGGCATATAATATAGACATATCGTAATTCCTGGGTGGATCCATTTGGATATAACTAAGTATAAACACGTCTCACAATGAAAGGATTGACTATATATGTTCTGTTCTGTTGCAGATATTCATAAAATATTTGTAGAATTATGAAAATTGATATTCATATGCGCATTATTGTGTCCTTGTTTGTTATTGTCTCTCGTTTACCGGCGTACACACTACAAATATCGTTAAAGCAAAGTATTCATTCGTATTTATACTGTGAGTTAAAAATAAATAAATAAATTGACTACACAACGTTACCCTTTGCATTCGTTTGACTTCACTTCTTAAAAGAGAGCTTCGTCTTCTGTAGTTTAACTAGACTCTGCACGCAGGGTAACACAACGTGTATGCATCTATTTCTATATATATATCTGTAAACATGTGACAAAAATGTAGCTGTTCTTGACTTAAATATATATTTTAAAAAAATAGTTGAATTTGAAAAATATAGAATGAATTGAAAAAAGTAACATCAGAATTATGGATCTTTGGAAACACTACAAGACAGTGTAATGCTTGTAGACATTTATCGTAATAGTGAGAGATAACTAACATGACAATGATTGCTTTATTTTCAGAATCAAAGTCTCCAAATTAAAGGCAGGCCATGCTCATCGATGGAATAGAACAATACCACGATATACAATGCTTGGTCATTCTCAATCTGAGATACGTAATATGGCAAGGTAAAGTATGTGTTCGCAGGTGGTCAAAAACGAAATTTGCAGAAAAAAACGATTTTGGTCAGCTTTTTGTGTCAAACGGTCAAATTGTAGCCTTATTAACAAATATATACAGACTGTTAAATATTTTATTTCAATGAGATGTTGAGCTTTTGAATTTAATGTTACCTTTACTTTTCAGGTGGAAGCTTTTAGAAAATTCAAAAGTTCGGCACCATTGTGATGGTCTCAACTCACTCACGTACAGATTAAACAAAGTTGAATTAAAGCCACTCTATACAAGCGTTTCTATCAGTATGGATTTAGATTTCCTGAACTCGACATTGTTTACGAAATGTAACATGACAACCTTCTACGAGGAAATCAAATTTGTCGAGGAAATAAAAAGACTACAACGATTAGGAAACCCCTCTGGGAATGACACACTAGACAAAAATATATAAAAACATCTGGAAAAATATATATTGCTGAAAGTGAAATATGTTCAATATATCAACTAAAATCTTGTATGAGTATCATCACTAAAATGTATGCAACACGGATAGGATAGTCAATTAATAAATAACTGTTCGCATAGATAGTTGTAAAAGATACGGGATTCACTGTATTGCAGGTAATCCAATAAGACACTTTTCTTAAACAATTCACGCGTTCTTGCCATCTATACGAGAATAAGTCATCCATCCACTACCACTTCTAAAATATCACATGATTTTATAATGCGTAACAATGTCATGTTTTATTTTTGAACACAATTAGTTTAAAAAATCGTGATATTTACTTTGCAGAGACCACTGTTGCATTTAAATGATTTTATTCATTCTGATTTATCAGAGTCCCTCTTTACCTAACGCTTTTGAGCAACTATTCCAAAAGGATAGTAAAGGCTGTGGATCCCACAATGGATTTTATTCTCATGACATTAACTAGAACCATTATCTGCTGTAAATGGTCTTAATGGCTTACTGAATCGCCCCATTGAATAAGCTAGAAAGGACGAGTGGGGAAAATGGACCTTGTTATGCAAGTTGAGCGTTGGTGGGTGAAAACACGGACCGTGGTTAAAACCGGGGTTAAAATAGGATCAGAATAAGACTGTCCTTGAACAATCATGCTTAACCATTGTAATCTGATAGCACGCATGATGGAAGACAATGCTGTTTTTATTTTCAGATTTTTCAGACTTGCATGAAACATAAAACAACTTTAGTATATAATATGTAGTGATGTTTATTACATACAGGAATAATAACACACAGCTAAATTTTTTGAGAAAATCACTTCATAAATATGATGATACTGCACATTTACTTGAATATGTATTCTGTATTATTCTTATCTACTGTATAACATGTACATGTATAATGAACTAATAAAAGCTATAAGCACATAAATTATAGTATCACACAAAAAGCAATCAAAGAATCTATTGCAGTATTTGATAAATTGTTAAGACTGATTTCACTGCACCAATCAAACCCGTTTTTCCAAAGAAAAAATAAAATATATACTTATACAAAATATGTCCAGGTATCAGCCGAATAGTACAGTTAGTTTGACGGAGGCAAAATATTGAATCAACTGTTTTTAAAAAATGTCTGTGTTTAAAATGAAAAAAAACTTGGACTGAATTTACAAAGTATATTGCTAGCTTCAATGATAGTTTGTAATTATTTGCCTGAAGACATGAAGACCATTCATAGTTTTACACTCTCAAATATATGATGCAAATGGAATTAATCTTCACTTCAAACAGATCAACTGTAAAACGTGAAGAATTCAATTCATTTTAAATCCAAACATAAGCGATGCAAGTGTTTCTAAACAAGAGATGCCCTTGTGTTGTTATCATTTCTTCAATTCTTCAAAACATTAAGATATATTATTTATATTGTCCATGCACAAATACATGTCCATATTAGAACCTGGTAAAAATTATATACAAAATCCAATGGAAATAAGGTATCCATATTCTTATCATACATGTTTTAGCCCCAAATATAATACATAATAACTATATGCAACTAGAAAACTGTATGCTACTCCACAGAGTAGCAATTACCACCAAATAAAACACGTTTTCTCAAATCATTTTTCATCCCATGCTTTTTGGTTTATTTTACCAAAAATGAAACCTTTGACATATAACTATTTCAAATATGCATTAGCAAAATATGTCAATCAGTATTTAAGTTATTGGCAAAAATGTCAAATTGAACAGGTTTTCATTTAGAACGAAGACATCATTTTGGCAGAGTCACCATTTGGAGCATGGGGCCTTAATCGTAGGCTCCATGCTCATAACTTAGACAACCAATAAAAATTCTAACCAAATCTGAAAACCGATGTTTGTGTTATTGCCCAGTCAGACAAAAAGCTTCTCCATATCCTTACATAAACTTAATCCAATGGGATAACTAAATATACAATACTAAATTTGCATACATATGGATATGATGAAACTATGTAGTACTGTCTTATTAGACTACCCTCTATACTCTCTATCACAAAACACATTGTGAATGGTCATACCAAATGCTCAAAGATCAAAGGTCAGGTTACTATTATACATAATGCAATGTTATCATTAACATTAAATACATTAATTTAACTTTGGTACCAGGCCAACTAGAGGTATAGCCAATGGACAATGAAATATTGGTAGTCTTCGGTTTACAGAATGAAGCAATACACCATCAACTATAGCTCCTTCCTCATTCAGCTTTCAGGTTGCAAAATTGAATACCTAATGCATGGGTAAAATCTCGTAAAATGTCACCATATACTTGTACAATATGAGCCACATTTCTATTATGCATTAAAAGTACAAACTGATTACAGTATGAAAAGTAAGTAGAATTATCAAATCAGTTTTCTTGGCTGCTTTATTGCATGAATAGTTTCTATTTATACAGAATTCAAATGATGCAAAAAACTATATAATAAGTACAGGGTGTCAAATAAGTCCCTTCCCCCTGCTACAGCTAAAACCTTAATAGATGGTACCTAGTGTGATATACCATTGGGAAGATCATCCAAAGTTATGTTAACTTACCAACTCTCAAATATTTTGGATGAAATTTACCTATATTTTTATGATGTCCTTTATGGCTAACGTATAGTCCTTTAAGCAGTTTTTTTGCGTCAAAATGACAAGGATATGACCTCAGAAATATGTCAAAAAGTTAATCTTTTTCGCATTCCACTTGTTAAAAAAGGTTTTCAGCATTTTCCTTGCACCTCTATTTTCTACACATCTAACCCTACCAGAAATTGGTTAAAGTCATTGCCATATACATGTTTAATCAAGTTTCGGTCCTTTGACCTTTCTTATATCTGATTCTTAAAATCCTGCCAAATACGCCAAGTTGCCATGTTTCTAGGCCTATGGTCTCCTCAATTGATACAATGTAAAAATTTGTGAGATTGATTGACATGTGTCAGATATATGCCAATCAACGTAACTTTGGAAGACCTTTCCAATGATATATCACACTTGGTACCAAATATCTTGGTTTTGGCAGTAGAAGGGTGGGGGGGGGGCGGGACTTATTTGACACCCTGTATTATCATTAATATAATATACTTAGTACTAAATGAAAGAATATAATGTTCATACCATATCAGTAATCATAAAATATTCAACACAGCACTCTGAATAAAATATCTCAATGCAGGGCATTCAAAACCCATTACTGGTTAAATTTTCACATAATGTACTCCCAAGTACTGCGATTATAGTACTGCATTTACCAGCATTTTTCTCATACAGACTATACACAAGAAAGTGACATACATGATAAAACAGATATTAGAGATGACACGGAACAACAAAAAATCAGAATGGTTCAGAACAGAGTGACTTTGTGTATTTGTGTTTTGGTTCTGGAACGAAACCGAAATTCTTAATTTTTGTTTTATGTTCCATTCCAAGAGCGTAATTCCGCGGGTCGGAAAACACAATAGGGTATCCGTGACACCTCTAACAGATATGCTACGATAGTAGATCATTCAAAATTCATCATCTATGACATAATCTAGTTTTCATGATTTATTTTTACAAAGGGCTACAGTTATCATTATAATGGTGTGCACGTATCCTTTCATTCATAAATATGTTGATTACCCTTTGGCCTTGCCCCCCTGGATCCGCCAATGATTATCGTTCTTACATGCCTCGAAAGAGATCCAAATCCTTTAAGTAAAATATACAAACTAAAAAGTTCAAGAGATATTTTCTCACAACTTTGTGATACAATTGAGAAGGATATCATAACAGATGGAAGAACCAAGCGATTGGCAGATATTTTGGGCGAATTTATTTACGAGCATGCATTCACCCAACAAAACGATATTCGATGAATAAAAAGTTTACATAATTCCACAGATTTACTGTTTTCTCCCTAAAATCTAGAGGCCTTAAATAGCAATCTTGCCTCTCAGATAAGTATGAGATACCTTTACTATTGATTTATGACAAAGTGTAATATACCAAACTGTTTGAAAATATTTAACCTTTCAAAAATGATATATAAGGCAATGTACCATATTGAACGTAACTATTTTTATCCTGATTTAAAGTTGGGTATTGTTTTTTGGCCCACCCTGTATTTATATTTGTCACTCACATTCGATCGATTCATTGTTTACATGATTGCCGGCATTTCTCAAAAATCTATGCATTCTATCGGATGCTGGTAGTAATTTTATAAGCAACCAATTCATGTTCAACCATATGCAAAATTTTTAATCGTAGACGGTATAAGTCAAGGAAGAGCAACGATTTCCCCTTTATTGGCAATTGACCCCTGAATACGGCCGTCAATATCTCAAAATTTAGTGAAAAGCTAACATACAAGGGCTTAAAAGTTTATCGTTCATTTGCACAATATTTATAAAGTAACTGAATCATTCATTTCCTCATAAGTTATAAAAATGTTAGATGTTGGTTACAAATATTTTTGAAGTTATGGTTGCTATGGTAACCTCAATAACGCTATAGTGGGACAGGGTAATATTTGCGAAGTTTAAAATTAGTTAACTTTTGAATAAATGATCAAAATCCCATTAAGGGTTGCTTATTTCTTCAAATGGCTGTTTTAATAGTAGCTGCTGTTTATGTCCTATTCTCATAAGTGTAAAATCATTGTAAATCTTGTAATATACAGAAAACATGAACACCTCGTGATACATTAGACAAGACATGAGGCAATAAGCTTTCAGTTCACCTACGTAAAGCAATGCGTAAAAAGCGACCGAACAGAGCCATAGATTCAAACATGTTTGACTAGGACAACACATTATGTCACAAATCTGGCATGGTCTACAATATTATCAGCAACAACTTAAATAAATATAGAAATATTAGGACAGAAGGTATTAGGACATTCTCCATATTCCCCAGATAATCCTCCCCTTAGTTGTGTTTGGCCTTTGGACCAGCCCTAAAGAGGGACCCGAATATCTCATATTATAGAACATTTGTTGAAATCGAGAATGCTGCCGACACCCGAGTAGGACTGCAAATGTGTACAAATAGTAGGTGGATAAATGCCAGAATGTATAAATGCAGTGTTTTAATGCAGAAGGACATTATTTTGAGTATCTTCAATCAAGAATCTTCATTGAACTTTATCTCAAATAGGATTTCACAGTTGGATTAAGTTTTTCAGATTTTCAATATGTCTTATGACGTTTTTTGACCCCTGCTAAACCCGCCGTATTTATAACGGCTATACACAAATATGACGCGGGACATATGTAGGTATCTAAATATAAGGTCAAATATCGCTGCGGATATATTATGTCACTAACCCCTTAATTAGACGTCCTAGTTTATACCATGGACTACTGTGCCAAATTAAGCGTGACAGTTGAACGCGCGGGGTAAAAGGTACAACACG